ACTTATTTATTAACAACACATATTATATGTTTTTTTTTATTTATTCCTACTGACGTAACATTAAACATCACAATTCCATGTTATCAGCTTTTTAGACCCTTTTTATTCCATTTCTTTTTTATTATTTTCATTTTCTTATCTACACAAATATAGTTATAAATATACTTTTCCTGGTGTAGCTTCTGTTTTCTCTTTTTATTTTTTATTTATTTTTTATTATCCTGTTTATTTTGTATACGACAATATAATATGTATTGTGTATGTAATGAAATTTCCAGTCCATTTTATTGAACAGCACGACAATCAAAATAATAAAAAATAATAAATAGAAGATGAAGAGACGAAAAAAGAAATTGTATAAGAAGATGAAGAAGATAAAGATGGAAACGGAAAAATAAGAAAAGAAGAAGGATAATAAACAAAAACAAAATTCGTAAAACTTCGTATATATACTTATTTATATTTTGAAGTTCCAGATTTTTGCCCAGATATTTTTAGATTTTTGTTTGTTTTTATATTGTTTTCCATTTATTTTTTACTATATTTTTTGTTTTTAGTAATTTGTTTTATTTTTTTTTCTGTTTTAGGCATTTAGATAACTTGTTTTTGCTTTGTTTTTGTTTATATTTATTCCTTAAGACGTATCAAAAAGTCAGAGAGATTTTATCTTTTATACTGTTAAAAATTGAAAAAAAAAGAACACGCTTTTAGTTTTGTAAGTAATTCAAAAGGTTTTTTTGTAATATTATTTTCTACTTCTATTTGAATAATAATAGAAAACAAATTGTAACTATTCACATATACACACATAGAAATAATAATCTACATTAACATTATAAACACATCTATTTATATAATTGAAATTTTGTATAACACATATATGTATATATACTTATGTTATATTTTATTTTTGTAGAATGCTCAACAGACAACAATACTAAGTAGTTTTACCCTTAGCAAAGAATTATAACAAAAAAAAAAAAAAACCAGAAAAAATGTATGAAATATATTTTTATTTTTGTTTTTGCAAGGATATTTACGACTGTTACCAATACAAGGACAATATCTGCACGAAAATATACATATACAAATATATAAAAATATTTTATTGTAAAATACATTTATGAAAATGTTAATATTGAGTAAATGTTACTATGAACTGTAGCATAAATTTAGGCGCGAAAAAAAAACTGTTTTATGTAGCGATTATTTACGTAATCAATTCTTAGAATTATTTTTTTAAAATATTTAATTTATATTACATATTTTTAAGTATCCACTTATATAGTATAATATAAAAATAAATCAGTATATTCTTAAATTAAATCTTGTATACTACAACTTCATATAAGCTTTTTTATTTAATTAAGAGAGGCAAAATGCAAATTTTTGGCTTTAATATTATGTAGAGCAATAAGAAAATATTAAAAGGAAATTAAATTTCAAAATTTAAATAGCTAATTGTATTTTATATATATCCGTATAACAGTTAAATTGTCTTTTAAATTTTATGTCTATTATATAAGATTTTATATCATATATGTACAAATATACCTATATGTGTATATATACAAATTTATTTAAAAAACAAAAAATAATTCTAAACATGCCCCAGGAATATTACCAAAATTAGCAAAGCTTATACTAATATATTTTATAAATTTGTTTTATCAAATAGCAATTTTATAATTGCTTAAAATAGCTCACGTTTGTATAACTAAACTAATATTACATCACAATAATAATTTGATTATATTTTTTTTAAAAACTTTAAATTATATACACTTTTTTATCACTATTTTTACATTATGTAAGTTCGTATAAGTATATATAATATAAAAATGTCCTTTTTATTGTTATACATGTTATTAAAAAATACTGTACTTATTTAGATAACAATTATCACGTGTAAAAAATTAATATAAATTTCTGTATAAGTATAATATACCTATATATACATAAATTTATTTATTCTTTAAATACTAAAGTGTACGAATACTAACACATATGTAAATATTAAAGAATTTTTGCACAGAAACTATTCACTTATTAAATACAGTTATTTATCATAATACAAAAAGTATATTTCATAAAAATTTAGAGAAATTCAAATTTTCAATTTATTTTATACAATTAATAAGAAATATTTAAAATATATATACATTTTACATTGCAAAGATATTGTTCGATTATTTAAATAAAAAAAAAATAAAATAAATTATGATAAAGACAAAAGGAGCTCGTAATATCTTTTATATATAGTTTTACAAATTATAGAGTGCCAAACCTAAAATATATATAAATATATAAAAAATTTTGACATTTAAATTTTATATTTGTATATTAAGTATATTGTGAACATAAAATATAACAATAAAAATAATTTCTCTAAATAAAAAATCAGTTCTATATTTAATATTTTCTCTTCTTTTTTGTCCATAATCAAAAAGGAAAAGAATATATTTAATAAAAACAACATTACTTAGGACAGGATACAAAAAAATAACAATAATTTACACTTTTACATTTGCAATATAAGAGTATTTTAATGTATAAGTATATTATGCATATACATATATATTTAAATATTTACAGAAATTTATATTTTATACACGTATATAATTACATGTAAATTTATTATAAATAGTATAATTTTTTTTCTTAATATGTAAATACAATGATATTAAATATAAAATACTCTCATTATTATTGTGATTTCATTTTTTGTATTTTTTTTTTTTCAAATGATTTCCTATACTATGTACTTATAGTACTTATATATATAAGAATGCATTCATAAATATACTTACATATATGCAAGTATATATATGTATAAATGTTAAACATGATTTACAAATTTCAAATTCAAAACATGTATTATATAAGTATAGTATGAGTATGTACCTATTAAATTGTAAAATAAAAATACAAAATGAAAAAAATCTTGAAAACAAAAAAAAAATTTCATTGAGAAGAAAATTCAAAATCTCTTTGAACCCTACATTCATATAAATAAAAGTTTAAGAAAATAAGCATCATTCATTTGTTATATAAAAAAAAATAAAACATAAAATTTAATTTTAAATTAATTTGAAATAGAACTTGATAGTTACAATTTTATATCAATAAATCACGGCCATATATGCATAATAAAATATAACAGTTTAAATACGACATAAAGACATTATTTTCTAAATTCGTTTCAAATTATGCTCATATGCAATATTTTATATTATTATTGCAATAAAATGGCATAGATTTGAATACAAATAGCATAATATTCATAAATATAATATAACACTCAATAAGATTTCTTATCATACTGTTATACAAAATTAAAGTCAATATTTAATTAGATCTTATGACAATAAACCTTCATAAAATTTATAATTTTTTTTTCAGAGAAATTTAAACGATATAGACTCATTGATTTGAAATTTTACAATTATATTTTTAATATATACATATATGTACCTACACGCAGAAAAGCATAAATTTTTTGTAAAGAAAATTTGCTACACGATTGTAAATTTAAAAATTTCTAAATTATTAATTTTAAGTTAAGATTTCTTAATATATGTACATAATTTTAAATATACTTTGCTGTAAATTTTTCTTACTTCTTAAAAACAAGATTTTCTATAAGTTTTCTCCTATATTTAATTAAATTGTGAAGTAATTACTTACTTTCTTTAAGAAATTAAAAATTTTTAACTCTAATACTATTACAATAAGCAAAAAGCTAATAAATTTTCATTCACAAAAATTGTTGCTACTAAATTACAAAGTCCAATAAGATCTTATTGAATAAATATAACAAGTTTTATCGGAAAAAGTCAAATTACAACCCTACTTTTAATTTCCGATTTTTAACCCCTACTTTTAGATTTCAGATTGGAACATTATCAAATTAAAATTAGACACGGTTTTCTTTATTGAAACTTCTATAATAAATAAAATTTACTTTGTTTTTGCATAGAAAATTCAATCTCTTTATTGATATTATCTTATTAAAAGCTTGAAAGAACGATATAGAACTTAGAAATATGCAATAACCACAAAATTTGATATCACATATTGTGAATCTGTTCATATATTTCGATATAAATGTACTATTTATAGAAAACATGATTTATCTCGAATTTTCGACATAAAACTGTTATACATTACTCTAGTTAATATATTAAATTAGAATTTAAAAGTAGGTATAAATATTTGGGAGAACCTATTTATAAAATAATTATGCTTAAATTTATTTTTTTAATTAAGTACCTACCTAAAAATTTCGTAATTAATAAAATACGTAGATATTTATGTTTATTATTAACTTAATGTACATAAGCATAATGTATGTAAACATTTTTAAATAATAATTATAATGTTAACATAATATGTATGTTATTTAATGTATTCATATAATATGTATATTTATGTATGTGCACGAAAATAATTTTTAATAACAAGTACCTATATAAGAGCCTATTTCTAGTTTCTACAGATAGATATCGTGCAGATATTTATATATAAGTATATATATAGGAGTAAATCTGGTATTTATGTAATTATAATTGCGTATGATTTTATAGATAAAAGACGATATAATATTAATTCATTAAAAAATAATTTATGATGACGAAAAACATTCTTTTGGTTTATTATACATAGTATGTATACCTAATAAGTTGTAGGTATTGGGAGAAATTCTTTTATTAGACTCTTGTATTTTTTTGTTTATTACTATAATATAATTAAATTCTTTACATTATAAGTATACACTTTTATATATATATATATATACATATGTATATCCATATAGCTCCTATTTGCATATATATATATATATATGTAGATACAAAATATTATGTTTTAATAAAAATATTGCTATGCAAGTAAAATTATAAATAAATTTTTTTATGTTCTTTTAATATTATATAAAAGAAACAAATTAAATTATAACAATAATAATAAATTTAAATAAAAATATAAATTTCTTTTGTTACCTAATAAACCAAATCAAAAAAATGAATGATTTTTTCTTTCTCTATAGTTTAATTTTATCCTATAAAAGAATTCGGATTTTTCGCCTTCTTCTTAAAAATTTTTGCTGGTGTTGGCCTTTTTATTAAATTTCTTATTTTTTTTTTTTTAGTATTTTACACTAATTTATATTGGAAATAACAATAAACATTTATGTATATATGTATGTATAACAGAATTATTTTTGTATAAAATTTTAACACTTGTTTTAATTTTTACTTTAAAATGCTTACAAAAATTTTTTTTGGCTTTTTCTTTAAATTCTTTTTTTTCTACTCACGTTTACTCACTTTTGCTCTATTTGCTTTACTTTTATAAAATTTTCTTTCTTTTATCTTATAATTTCATTTTAATTTTAATAATTAAACACACGAATAATTATTAATTATTGTTAATGGAAAAAAATTATGAGGTTAAATCGAAAAACAAAATGAAAATCACTAAAAAAATTATTTTAAATACCCGCCGACCCGAAACTAAACCAGAAAGAAAGAAACAAAAAAAAAAAATTCCTCCGTTAGAAAATCAAAGTAGGTAAGGTGTCCAAAAAAAAAATAAATATTTTTTTTTTATTATTTTATGAAAAAGAAAAAAAAAATAAACTTTTTAGTAACTTTATTTAAATTTTGCTTAAGAAAATTTTTTAGCTGCCGATGCGTACAAATGACGATGACAAACTGAGTATATTTCTCATCTTGAAAATGTTATTACACTTTTCTCAATTATAAAAAAAAATTTCCTTTCATTATTTTTTTTTCTTACAAACATGCATACATATAAAATTATATTGATATTATTATACTTTATAATATACGTACATAAATAAGAAATATGTATTGTATAAAATTGTTTACCTAAGATCGGAGTAAAACTTACTACATTTGAACATTGTGAATTGATTGTAATTAAATTTCTATATTCTCAGTCCATGTATATAGTATATAGTATCCATGTATATTATTTGATAACGACATAAGTGATTAAATTTATTTTTAAACTATATATTTTTAAACTGTACTATGATTGTACATTTTTAATAATATACATATTGTAACTCTAGTAAGTAGTGATGTAATTTGTTATTTGTACATTGAAATTAAAACTGTTGTTATACGTAAAGAATTGCTTGATATTTTTAATATGCATTTATATTTTTTACGATACCATAGTTACGTACATAAAATTAATTGTGAATATTACAAAAATTGAGAATAAAATTGCATATTATGTACACAGAATTAGTTTGTCGAATAAATTACATACTCTGTTTTATCGAGTATCCATCACTTTGCAAAATTCTGATTTTAAGGTAAGAACTTAGAAATTTTAAAAACTTTGTATTTGCATGAAGCTACATCAAAGGTCTAACTGTAAAAACTGAATTTCTAATAATCACGGTATTTTCTATAATTTCATATAAAACGGCAACATTTTTATATAATATAGTATATACATAAATATACCGTAAATCCACTTAGAATTTGGTTCATATAAGTGTAATATATGCAATAAATATGTATGTATGTATGTAAGTTTTGCGTTTGCGTTCTCAAAAATATAATAACAATATAAGTACATGACAAAAAAAAATATACAAAGATTACCTATAACTTTTCTCTCGGTGTTTTTAATATTACTTTTTTATGGTTTCATTACGTTATACTGTTATAACCATTGATATAATTTAAAAGAATTTTTTATATAATAAATTTAAACAGAATAAATACACCTGGATAATGTTTTTTACCTTTGAATTATAAAATTATAAAGATATATTTACGGCATAAAAACATATACACATACGTACAAACAAATGTGCTCTAATGTATAATCCGCTCTACCAATTTCTGTTATTCTGTATTAAATTTATATTACAATTTCTTTTTATATGTATGAATTCATGTTATACTCTCTCTGAAATACAAAAAAAAAAAAATCAAAACCGAGTAAGATAGAAAAAACAAAAAGGAAAAAAAAAAACGTAGAAAAGCACATGGCTTTTGCAATGTTTTAATTTTTTTTTATTCTTTCGTATAGCATAAAACAAAATTACCTATTTAAAAAAATAAAGAGAAAGTGAGATAGAGAATCAAAAATAAGAGAAAAATATAATACAATTTTTTTTTTCTTGAGAATCCAAATACCATACAAACTTATGTTTATGTCAATACCTGGGACATGAGTGCTGAGAGCATAAAAATAATGAGCAGAAAATAAAAAAAAAATCATATACCTACTTTATAACAACCACCTTTGCATAAAATTTCCTATAATGGCACTGTTAATGTTTTTATATACTATTATTAAAAATTATCAATGAAGGTATCCTAGGTTAAATATTTCCATTTACAATAAAATCTACAAATACATATGTTTATACGGTTACCTAAATACATACGTATAACATTTATATAGATATCCATATATTTTATCAATTGACAGTATAACAATTTATACAAGCATAATAATTTGAGATACTTATGTATAAAGATTATAAGAGTAAAAAATAAAGGTAACAAATGTTTAGTATCATTGAATAATATACATGAAACAAACATTTGTACTTATGTACATATTGTGTACGAAACAATATTATTCCTATGTAGTATACGTATGTATGTATATAGCACAAAAAATAAAATTTACAATTAAACATTGCATATTGTACGTATACTACAATATACTAGAAATGATTATAAATTAATAAAGTATTATTTTATGAATTAGTATAATATAAAACTGTATATAAAGAAATAAAGGATACTATTATGTATGTATGATGTTATATCAAAAATAATATTTTATTCACAAATATTAAATTTTTAATTAATTTAAATTAATATAATGTAAATAATGTAATACTATAATTTTTTAATTTTATTGATATTAATTTGTTATACAAAATAAAATCTATGATTTTAGCTATAATATAATTATAATATACCGTTAATTGAATTATATAAATCCAATTTGGTATAATATATAGATATTAATAACAAAGTTAATAGCGAACATATTCTATAATAAAGCTAATAGCGAAAATATTTCTATAAAAAAAAATAAGAAATAATTTTGAAAGTGTTAGATCTTTAGATACTTGTTAGAAGATTTAAGAACGATAGACAGTTCGAAAGGCTTCGTCAAAATATTAGGGCTTATTCTGAGTATCGAATAACTAAGATCAACTATAGGTAACTTAGTGATATCATTTAGTTTTGTGATATTTATGGTAAAAATTTCAAAAACTTTATTATAGACACAAATCATTTTTACGAATTGGATTGTGTTTATAATGATAATATCGAATTTTTTACGATAACTATAACTATTGTGATTCGATACTTAGAATAAGCCTCATTATTTCTTTAGAAATTTACTGGCAAATAATTGGGTAAACATTATAATTTAAAAATATTTAATAGTTTTAGTAAAGTAATTTGGCTAATTTGATTAAAATCAATTTTTAAATAAATGTACCCACACATATACTTAAAAACAAATCTCCAACGATGGGTACACAAATTTTAAATTCCGTATTTTCCAAATACATACATATGTACATAGATGTTTTTCATCTTTTGAAAAACGTGCGCATTTAATTAAAATCGTTTATATGGTTTCTAATTTCTTAGTTCTCTAACTTTATTTTAGGTACGGTTTTGTACACGGTCTTCTTTCCTTTTATAATGTACATAGGTAGGTCTGGGTATACAATGTGGGTTTGTATATTAATTTACCATTATTTTGTGATTTAATGAGGTAAACGTTATACGTTATATTTTTTGTATTTTATTTGCATGTTCTTAAAAATAAAATGTATATATACATACACTCATATGTACATACCTACATATATACCTATATTGTAAAAAAAAATTTTAGATTTAAAATTTAGAGCCTTCAAGAAGCAATAAAAATTTTTAATTGGATTTAAATAATCAATATTACAGATGTATATATGTAAGTATATATATATAATATGTACATGTATATTTTAAGTTTTTGCGCTTCATTTTTGTTTACTCATAATATGACTCACGTTGTAAAGACGCGAAAAATAACAAACATTTTGTATTATTTACAATAAAAATTATATAAATCCTCTGTCAAAGAAATTCATACAAAAACCCAATGAAAATAAAAAAATATGAACACACTTATTTACATACCCGCATTTAAAATAAAAAAGCTGATTTAAGTAGTTCAAGTTCAGCTGAATATACAAAACAATATTCTGTAAGAATATATCAATTAAATACAAACGTATGTATGTTTGTGGCTTTCCTGCAATTCTTTCTGTAAACAAATTAATAAAGTTAAGTATAATATGTGACTTGAACATGATTTTAAACCTTTTTCAAGGAATATTTGCACTTTACCGAAAACAAGTATGGCCGCTATATATGTAAATAATACCAGAAATAAATTTATTATATTTTAAAGCGAATCATTTATAAACACGAATCATTTCTATGAATTGTTTTGCATTTACAATAATATCGAACTTTTTATGATCATTTTCAGTACCACTTAATGATTCGACACTTAAAATAAACCCCAATAAATACTTTTAAAATTTTATTGCATAAATAAATACCTTAATAATTTTTAAATATTCAACTCTGAATACAATAAATTTCTTTTTAGACAATGATAAATTTTTCGCAGAACTGTATAAAAATTTAAAATTTTTCATTAGACACTCTTTAGGTACATAAAAAAAAACTATGAAAAAGAAACATTAATATACAATCATATCGTAAATCAATTACGATATTATTATCCAATTTGCTCAATATGTTTTATCGTTTTCGACGTAATATGCAATTTTACCGATTTGTATTATTAAGTTGTGTACTATTTGGCAGTACTTTTAAACGAAGGGCATAAGGTAGCAATAGCACAGGAGTGACAAAGATAAGCATAGAATATTTTCAATTTCAAACACATGATTTTTTGACATTTCTAAAGAAACATTTTGTTTTTATTTGTTTACTTTATTTAAATACAATTTAAGTATTAAAAATATTAAGCAAAATGCTTCGGTATTTAATTATCAATAAAACTATCCAAAATTTGGAAAATAATCTATTGGGTGTACAATTTCTTCGTTGGAGAAGAAAACCTAGATGGCTTCCAGTAGCTAAAAGTAAAGAATTTAGAATTCCGGAACGTCCAAAACAATCAGAAGAAGAAAAATTGGAATTAATGAGGTTGCATAACCAATATAGAACTCAAATGCGTTCAGTTCGTTCATATTTGATTAAAGAATGGGAAGCAAATAAACAAAAAACTACTTCAGATCATGTTTATATTACACCAGAAGAAGCCGAAAAAGAATTTCAAATGAGAATGCAATTAAATAATGAATGGAATAAAACAATATCTATTGAACGAGAGGAAAAGCTTCGTATTGAATTGAAAGCAAAAGAGGAACTTATTAAAAATAAATTGGAAAATGCAGAATATTACATAGAAAGGAAACGGGAGCAAGCCCGGGAAGAAGTTTTAGAGCAAATTGAACTAGCAAAAACTTTTATTACAAGAGAAAATTTAGAGGCTAAAATTGAAGAAATCCTAGCTAATCCAGTCAATCATAATTTCTGTGTTGATTTAGAAAAGAATATTCATAGAGAAATGGACAAAAATTAAATTGTATTTAATTATTGTAATAAAAATGCAAAATAACTTTTTTAAATCAATAAAATATTTATAATTCTAACATATTTTATTACTATAATATTCAATGAATTTTTTGATTTGTCAATTAATTGCAATTGTAGTTTTTAAAAGCTTTTTATCTTCTTTCTTTCTCTATATATTGACATTTTTTGTACTGCGAATAAGAATATAATTTCATTAAATTCCATTTGTTTTAATAAAATAATTTACTTACTATATGGATCAAATTTTAAAAATTCTAATTTATCTGCTAGACGATCTCTTCGTGCATTAAATTGATGGCCACTTACAATACTTTCCATAAGAACCATTACTCTTCTGCAAACATATTTTGTTAATATTACATTTAATTTTTGTTCTGTATAAATAACTTACTTGCTCTTAACCTTTTTTAATAATATATTAGTTAGAAACATGTTTATCTATTAAAAAATTAGGCTATAAAATGTGATATAATTTTAATACCATCAAAAAATTTATTATTTGCTTCTTCCGAAAAAGAATAACAAATTAAAAATTACAAAGTATAATTTTTGACAATACGGTATAATGTGATTTGATGTCAATATAATTTTTTGCCTATTCACAATAGAAAAATTTATCGCACGTTTATTCGCAAGATTACTGAATTAATGTATATAAGTTAAGCTTAGGTTACGAAGACTTTATTTTTCAGTATCTAGAACTAAAATTTTATTGTTAAAAATCACTTCAAAATAAAGTATCAGAAATTAATTCATAATTTTAAACAAAACATAGTATAGGACGATATTTTGAAAAATTATTGATTTCACAAATGTTTATTGGAAATGGCATTTTTATATCAGAATTTGAATTAATATGGTTTTCTGTGTACTCTACATTTTACTTTGGCTTTAAAATGATTACTCCTTATAATAAATATATACATATTTTACTAATTTTTCTTAAAAATAATTTTTCCAATTTTTAATATTTTTGTGTACATACCTAATTGGACTGAACCGCCGATATAATATATTATTGGTATTTTTAACTCAAAAATAGTTGCTACCTTAAATGGTACAAATGTCAAATTGTTGCAGCGGAATATCTCTTGGCTTTTATAAATATAAAAACATAAACAAAAAAAAAATATTTTTCTCTTTGTTTTCAGTAGGACAGAGTTGGATTATGTTATAAGAAGAAGTAGAAGAGCAAACAAATTATAAAATAAAAAAAAAAGAAAATAAAAAGCAAAAAGAAAAAATAAATAAGGAAAAGTGAAAACAAACAATTCGCAAAAAAAAAAAAAAACAATTTTTAGTTTAAGTATTTTTTTTTTGTATAATTTAATTAGAATAAAGTAAAACAAAATTGTTTTACCAATTATATTTTGTTTAAATATTTATATTAAAAAATCCACCAACAACTTTTCTTCTTAATATACTTACATAAAATAAAAAGTGAAAAATTTTTTTTTTTAATATGACTTCATACTTTGAAATAGGCATATTAGTATCGATATTAATGTTACCGATATTTTATGAAAAAAGTCATGCATTTAGATATTATTTTAAATTTTTAATATATTATTTAGTTGTTTCGGTAAATGCAATTATTTTAATACCAGCATTTTTATGTCGGCCCTGTGATGTACGAAATTTATTGTAAGTACCTATAATTTAAACAAAAAGAAAGTTTTTTTTTTTACTCTATGAATTATCTATGAAAAAAAGTGTACTAAATCGATAAAATTACAAAATGTTTGATTTTAACAAAGTTTTCAAAAAGATTTTAAATTATTACAGCTTTAGTGACTATTATTAAATGTGCAAATTATTGTGAATAAAATCTAATGTTTAAAATAAAAACTATTAGAATTAGAATTTAAAATTTAGTAAAAAGATACCTAACTGCATAGATGTGAAAGACTGATATAATTACAAAAGGGGGGTAGATAACCCACCTACTAATTTACACTATTACACGCATTAGTAAATTAAAATAATTCAATAAAAATGTTCCACTATTCAAATAAGAGAAATTACTTGTACACGCAACAGTTATACTCAATTAAAAATCACATCAAATTATTAAGATAAAAAATAAAAGATTTATATTGCTAGGTAGGCAATAAGCGTAAACAAAAATTCTGTTACCGATGCGTTTTAAATTAAAACATTAGATTGTACACATATACCTCACATATATTTGTATATAAAATGTTGGTACCTACCTACATACATAAGATATAGGTACATAAAAACTCACCTATGATATTAATAAAAATTATACACACCGGATGATAACAGCAATAACAGTGTAACTTATTGCTATAGTGCTTTGTTTTACATTTTTTTTTTTATAGAAATTTTGTCAATTTAGTTTAATGATTCATCTCATTTTGTTGGTATTGATGAAGATACTAGATGAGCATATCATAGACAAATACATATTTTGTTAATCTCATATTAAATCATTTATTTCAAATTTATTTATTTTACAAGTCTAAACAGTTTGCGAAATCAATTTTTTTTCATTTGATAAAAATTGATTTGTTATTTTTGTGATTTTCAGACATTTTAATTAAAAAAATTTCAATATCTAAACTAACTAACTATGTAATTTTATTTGATAAGTTCAAGGTTATCTAAAAAGGAAGAAAACAGAAAAAATAAATAAAATATCTTAAAAATAATAAATTGATCTATACATAAGAGTACTGTGTACATAATTGGTGCCCCACATATCTACCTACCTACACCTATCTATCTTTTGTATTAATATTGGAAACTATTTTTAGAATCAATTTTTAAAATTAGCAATCAAAAACAAAAATTATTTCTCTAAAATTCTCGATTCCAACTAATTTCCTCAATACGCTCATTGTTGCTCTGATAAAAAAATATTTTAGTTTTATGACGCCTCAAATGATATTATACATTTTTTTTTCTCAGAAGATTAAAAATATTTAAAAGAAGAAATTTTGTGATGACAAAACAAGAAATAAAAATTTTATTAAATACTTTTATCATTGCGATTAATTAGTTATTGATTAATATTAAAATTATAATACCATAATTATTGATTTTAAATAAAGCACATAATACTTAATCCTTGATAAGAGTTAATAAATTTTTAAATTTTTATTGTAAATTCAATTTAAAATAATCTTGAATTGGCAAAACTTTTGATAGCATATTTATTGAATTTTTAATATTGATTTGCTTTATTTTTTAAAATTTCATGCTCATGTCAATAAATTTATTACACAGAATATTTTTATTGCACAAAAGATTAAAGGCCAAGGGGGTTTGTCCATAAAAATTTTCAATAAAAAGATTTTGGAATCTTTGGAAAAGCTATAATTTGTAGTAAACTAACGTGTGCTAGTGCAGTACAATTTAATAGGAAAATTTCAATTTGATTATTATATTAATGTAAATACATATTATATATTTTATGTATGTATTTCCTAAAAACTCCCACAAATTTTTACTATCTCTTTGTGAGGGGAGGCAACAAGCAAACAAATAAAGCGTACTTATTTGAATTGATAGTATACAAAGCGTGTATGAAAATATTTACAATAGTTTTTAAATAATTATTAGCACGTTTTCAAAATAATATAATTACGTGAATAAATTTTAAAATTAAAATTTAAAAATCTCATCAAGCTTAAAATCGAACTATCTTAAAATTTTTCGAATATTTATACTTAATTTTAAATATTATAGGTAACTTAAATGGCTCCTATTATTTTTCAATTAATATTTTTAATTATATTTTATTATTGACCATATTTTTATTGTAAATGAGGGCACTTAAGTATTTATTAGTTATAGCACAGTAAAAGTCATTAATTTATTGTTCTTTTTTTAAAATCTTATTATTAAAAAACGTGATAAGAATTAAAAAAAATCAAAATAGGCTTACTTCATAATATATAAAAATAAATATCTACATTTTATGCTCATTGGAATTTATGGGCGAAATGAAGGTTAATATTAAGCTTTTAAAGCAAGTTCTTAAAATGTATAGTATACGTAATTTAAAGTTTATCCTAAATGAGATTTTAGTAAAATTCTTGTCAAATACTAATGAAATAAAAATGCGATTGATAATATTTAATAGTAAATTTTATATTCGCATTAAATTGAAAAAATTTTCAATATTGCCAAATAATTTATAATTTAAACATGTAATTTATTTATGAATTACTTACTTTAATTATATAATGGAAACTTAATGTTGTCTCAATAGAATTAAATCATTAAAAATTATTTATTTTCAATAAAACTATCTTAAAATTAAATTCTTTGATTAAAAATTTAGATGGGCGAGTGCATTTTGTCATCATATTTCAACATTTCTTGGTTTTAAATGGGAAATAAGAGGAAAAGAGCATCTCGAAAAAGATCGAGCATGTATTATTGTAGCGAATCATCAAAGTTCTTTAGATGTTTTAGGTAATATTTTTATAAATCACATAATTTTAAATAATTCTGTAGCTTACATAATACTTTTATAATTATATAAAAAATTTCCAACATTTTCTTAATTTAATTCTATTATTTATTTTTAGGTATGTTTCATATATGGCCTATAATGCAAAAATGTACAGTAGTTGCTAAAAAAGAATTATTATATGCTCAACCATTCGGTTTGGCTGCATGGCTCTGTGGTTTAATATTTATTGATCGTGTACGATCTGAAAAAGCTAGAGATACATTGAATTCAGCAAATCATAAAATTAAATCTAAAAATATTAAATTATGGGTATTTCCGGAAGGTACAAGACATAATACTGGTAAAATTCATGAATTTAAAAAAGGTGCATTTCATATGGCAGTTGATGCTCAAATACCAATATTACCCGTTGTATACAGTTCTTATGCATCATTTTTGGATAGTAAAAGAAAAATATTAAATCCTGGTAATATTATTATATCAACATTACCAGCTGTACCAACAGATGGCCTAACAAAAGATGATATACCAAAATTAATGGAGGAAATACATCAACAGATGTCTGAAGAATTTAAAAATGTATCAAGAGAAATTCTTGATCGTTATTTAGCTAATTCCAAAGATATATCAAATACAAAAATACAATTAATAACAAAAGATGATAAAGTTGATGATAGTGTAATAAGAAAAAGTAATGACGAACTATTTCAAGATATTAGAAGTCGTAAACAACAAAGAACATTTAAAGATGCTATTGTATCACAATAAACAAAGGAGAAAAATTATATAAAAGAATTAAATTTTAATTTTACAAAATTATTTAATCGATTAATTAAGATTATTTTTTTTTTTAATGTATAAACATTTCTTCTTTTTTTTTAATTTACGATTATTACTAATTTTATTATAATGATAAATGTAAGAAAGAAGAATATATGTAAAATTTCATATAATAATATGTTAAAAATTTTTCGTTTAATAATTTTAATTTTAATTTCCCTTTTGCTTTTTCTTGTATTTTTGAAAATTTGTTAAATTAGAATCGAAAGGCTGTATTTATTTGAAAATTTCGCTAAAAAAGTTATATACAAATTTCAATTGATTTAAGTGAAAGTAACAAGGGAATAAATATTTTTACAAAAACCAAAAAGAAAGAAAGTATTAAAATAAGTAAGGACATAATTAAAAACCAAATTACTAAATTTATATTCAAAATTTAAGTTATATACATTGATATACAAAATTACTATTAACCATTTAAATTAATACATATTTTTAATTTTTGGAAACTATAAAAATAATTAAAATTGTATATTAATTATCGAAATTAAGTAAAAGAAATTTTGCAAAGCTTTATATTTATTTTTTATTATATTCATTAACGACTGACAAATATATTTTGCGTAAGAAAAAATTTAGTATTTACGTTTTTTCTTTTTAATTAAATTAAGTAAATCATCTTTTAATGTTTAAATCATATTTTAATAAATATTTTAAATCACTATTTTGATTTCAAAGATTTTCATGTATATACCTATTTTCATATTATATGTTATATTGTTTGATTAAATGTCAAAATATTCATTTCGCGAATTTATTTAATTTTAATTAATCAAAATTGCATTTATTTAATAATATATCTATAACAAATTTTATTTGTTTTAATTTCTATAATCTTCCCATAATTTGTAATATCGCAATTGAAATAAAACTAAAACAAATCAATAATTTAGTTAGAAAAGAAAATAGCCAAAAAAAAAATAAAATAATTATTTAAAAATAAAGTTAAAGTTGTAAAATCGTTAATACAAAAAAAAATTATTTCATTCAATATTACATATTTAAATGCTAAGAATGCATTTTTTATTTTGAAGAACTTTTATAATTTTAACAAAACATCACTTTGCATTGCTTCTACTATGCATAATTTGGTCATACCATCATAATTTTTTCTTTTTAAATATAATTTTTAATTTTATCATTTTTTATTTTTGCTTTTTTATTAGTTTAGACTGAATTTATTGTACCAAAAATTGTTTTTATCAAACTATTATTCTTAATTATATTAAATTGAATCTTAAAGAGATTAGCTTTGTAAAAGAAAAATTTCCAAATTTTTTTTTATCATTACTCTTATTTTAAATTTGATATTATACTGATAAAAGAATGATGAAGATAAAGATTATCTAAAAGTTTTTTTTTTAGAAAAGTATTTATTTATATTTAAGTACATAATTGTAGATATTTTTTTTAATATTGTGTATACAAAATTCGTGTATAAAATTTAAAAAATTTATATTAATAAATTAGATAAAATAATTGTTCTAATTGATAAAATCAATTAGTTGAAATTTAAAATTTTATATTTATAATTTATATTTCTATTATGTTTGTAATAATTCCTTTTTTTTCTTTTATTTATGTAATATATTTTAATAATTTTATCATTATTGTGAATATAAAAATGTCGATTAGAGAAAATTATTCTGTATTGTATTTATAATATACGTTTACGTCTGTAATGTATGTATAAAAAAATTTTTAATATTAATATCCTTTTAGATTGAAAATTACGAGTATAATACATAATGTAAGTGGAATTATTAATAAATTAAATGACAAAATGGAATGAATACTTTTTTTATATTTTGTAATTTATCAATTAGCTAAAATCTTTGCATTCGTTATATATTATGGTCTGGATGCAGCAAAATGAAGATTAATTTTATTTAAATAACTTAAATAATTTTATATTTTATTTAACTGATTGGGGTTTGCTGCTCTTTCTGTTTTTTTTGTTTTGTATTTAATAAAGCTCATTTCAGGGAAAATAGTCTTAAAAATCAGAGTCTCTACGGACCTATACCTTCATATATTTCTTTTACTACCAATTACTTTATTATTCATAGATAAAAAATTAAAACACAATTTTTTAATTATTATTAAAAAATATCCTGTATTTATTTTTAAAATTGCTTTGCACATAATGCATATTATTTTTTTATTATGAATTTAAATGTTTTTTTTTTCAGATTTTTACTGAAACTAAAACTATTTGTGTTTCATTGACAGAGATTTATATATTTTAAGTACATTTTTTTTTATTTATTTAACAAATGTTAAATATTTTTGTTTTATTATTTATTAAGTACATTGGCACAAATGAAAAATGAGTACATTTACTTTTTGATATATCAATAAATTGTTATGTCTTAAACGGACACCAATCTTTTTTTTTTACACAAAATTTGAAAAATATTAAAATTATTTCTTAAATTGTAACAATAAATTATTTAAAATTATTAGAGTTTTTACATTAAAAGCTACACAAAGATGACACATACATGTTTTATAAAAAAAAAAATAAGTGTTAATACTACAACAAATGGAAAAAAGATTAAATCTATGTTATTGCTTATGAGATAAATTATTAGAAAATTGTTTTGCATTTATTTTTTTATATAATACTGAAAAATTAATCATTTGAGATTACATATATTCTTATTAAAACAAATTTTTTTTTCACAATTACATTAATTTTAAAATATGTATACATATTATATTCATTTTGAATTTTATAGTACATACTAAAAATAATGTCAAGTATAAGATACAAATTTCTCCATAAAAATTTAATCAAAAGCGGCTTTACGAGAAAATGATGTTAATGATGATATTTCACTTGGATTTGAGTCAGAGGGCAAATTATTAAATTCTATTTCTTCACTTACAATATTTTCTAAAAAAATTTAAAAAAGTTTCATGTATAAATTTTGTATATAAGTCATATATAGTAGAAATACAATAATACCATTTAAATTATTATCTTTTGGCCATTGCTTATGACTTGGAGCGTACAATATAATTAGGGCAAATATATAAATATTCCACATTCCATATACGCCGGTCATAAAAGCTGAAGTAACTTGTAATTCAAGATTATCATCCCATTTCCAATGCCCTTCAGCAAATTGTCCTAATATATATCCCACACCTGTTAATGCAGCACATAATAATGTAGCTAACATTAAAAATTCAAAACGATAAATAATTCCTTCATAATGTAATCTTCTTGCATTTGACATAGATGGTAATGTTGTACGTTTTACTGATATGTTACAGAAAACTTTCCATACCATATAACACAAGAAAATAAAGTAAATTGCAGCAGATATTCCAGCTAAAACTATGAAACAGAGCTAAAACGAAAAAATTTCGGTGTTTTTGTCAATATATTTAATTTTTGTAATATATGTGAAACCTACAGCTAGATTCGTCCCAAATTTAGACGTCCAAATTGAATAAAACGGATTACGGAGCTTGGCACCACGTTCACACATGTCAAAAATGAATAAAGAAATACATCCAACTACAACAGCACTCAAATGCTTCCAATATATTTTTAAAGAATTTTTTTCGCCTGATTCTTGTATCTTAAAGAAAGAAGGGAAAAAGTATTATTAACTTTCAAGTCGAAAAACTTAAATTTATTACCAGCATATGTTCTCCAGCAAAAACTAGCCAAAATGATAAAAGCATAGCATAAAATATACCTTGACGAATATCACTCAATAGTAACATAAATGGCATTTCGAAAAATAATGTCAAGTATTCCATAGGCACTAAAATAGAGAAATAAATTGGGTAAAAAATTTTTGTACATTTTTTTTTATCAATCTAAATGTACTATTTAAAAATGTCAAAGCGATTCCTAAGTACAGTAACATGTACTCTAATAAAGCTGGTGCTCTTTGTAAAATATTTACACGTCTCCAAAACCAAACCATTATAGCAATAATGGATGGGAAAAATATTGTTTTGAGTGATACCCAAACCTTTGTAAAGCCACCATTTTGATATATTGTTATCAGTTGTAAATCATCAATGTGTCCAATTTTCGTATTCCAATCTAATCCAGAATCAGTAGGTATACGAATATTTAATAAATAGTAGTCGTGATGTAAAGAGCCAAGTTCAAATAAGGGTATCTGGAATTAAATATAGTTGAATTGACTTTTGCTATTGGCAAAATTATACTTATACCACATTGCAAGATCGTTCGTCTTGGGACACCTACAAACAAAAGCAAGATACTAATTTAAATTTTACAAAACAAAAGATAAAGATTTTTTTAACATACATGTTGAACATCACAATCTAAGTGGCGGTGTTCTATTGATTTAGCTAACCTGCAAATATATAGATAACCATATAAGTATATATGTACATACAACAAAAGCAATAGCTTGAAATTCACAACAAAAATAAAGGTGGTTTTGTTTAATTAAAAATAATAAAAAAGAATCTATAAAGTTTTGAATAAGATAAGATAAACAGAAATGTAGGTATGTTATTATTCTATGTTTAATATCTTGTATTAGTGTGACTCATATAAAACATAAAGTGTTTACAATCTATATTTTAAAAAGCCGACTTACAGTTTCCAATCTCCGTCAGCATCACCTTTATTTCTATAAGCAAGTCTTGCATCAATGGTTAATATAGTATGCGGATCTGAAATATAATAATAGGTATTTGTTGAAAATCATAGAACATTTATAGATTTAAGTAATAATTTAAAAGCTCACTGAATAGCACTTGTTTTTCAAAAGCGATATCAACATGAAGGACTCCTATTAAGTTTTGTTGCCATCTCGAATAATCTAAAACTTGACCTTCACGTGGCAATGGCATCTAAAAATTCAGAAAGACATTAGTTTTCTTTGTTATGTGCAGGTATAAATAATTTAGATTAGTATAAAAATTTTGTTAACCTGAAAGACATAAACAATTTCATTTTTCATATTCGTATCGTGGTTTTCAATTTCAGGTCCGTTAACTGAATCACATTTTCCAATTCCTCTTGAATAGAACCAAATAGACGTGTCATTGAAAGAATTTACTTTATCACGACACACAAGACCAAAAACGTTTTGATGAGATGCTGGGATTGGTGCTAAACCAATACAATTCTTTTTAATTTGAATCAATAACACTTTATTAAAAGAACTTTATGCTTACCAATTAAACCACCAATTAAAAAACATATTATTTGCAAGATTAATAGACAAGACACTAAAATTGTTAATTTTTTTCCACTTAAATTTTCTAAAATAGTACCCATCGCGTCCTGCTGCCTTCTATATTGTACAATAAAAAAAATTTTTCGGTTTATTACTTCTTTTGTTTTGTTTTTCCTTAGTTTTTTATGTTTACTTTAGAGATACGTAAACACAGTTGAAGCGAATCTATAAAAATCTGATGTTAAGCGGCAAATAAAAATGCAAATTTGTGAGATTTAGGAATATGTATATTTATATTTGTTTTTCTAAATATATACATACATACAAACAAAGTATGTGAACTTTAATTTTTTTTTAGAATATTTTAAATAAATATATTTTTTATTGAAAATATTAAAAAAAAACAAAAATTTTTTGAATTTGCAATCATCTGACGGTACTTTTTTTACTTCCATATTAAAACTTTTTGGTTCTGGTCTTAGATAAACGCAAAAAAATATTCATTTTGCGGAACAAATACCAAAGAGAGAAATTCACAATAGATTTTTTTATATAAAAATTTACTTTTGTTTGATATTGCATATTACGTTAAACTTTGAATTTGAAAAATACCTCGATATATTTGAACTAATTTCAATGATCAAATATATATACATACGTATGCACGTATGTAGGTCAAGTATGGCATATTTCAATATTTATTTCTAAAAAATAATTAAATAAAAAAATGTTTGGAATTTTGTAATTTTCTTTTAAAGTTTTCAAGACTGAGAAAAGAACGTTGAATGTGAAATTCAAAATATTCTGACGTAACACATTGTTTTAACCTAGTACTTCGATTATGTATTGCTTTTGCACATTTATATATACATATGTAGGTATAATAAGAAATAAATTCAATTAGATTTCTGAAAGTAAATAATAAATATAATTCTGTTAGTGAATATTAACTTTACCCTTAGATTTGCTGTCTTGCAAATAACTTTTATTTTTCTTCAATGTTGTTATTACGTCATTTAATGAAATAGAATTCCTATTAAACATAATGTATATAATAATATGAAATTTCGTTTAAATAAACACTATCTATTCATTTAAAATAACTGATTCACTTGTAGAATGTCGGAATTTATGTTTTACTTTTATGCATACATGACATGTTTATGCTCAGGTATCAATGTGTACTAGGTTTACTATACAGGGTGAGTAAGAGAGATATACAAGAAAAAATAAACTATTGCTTAGTTTGAGAATCCTCGAATCAGGTTATACAATCGTTTTCCTTAAGAGGAATTACATAACTTTGTATAGCTCAAAAGTCACTAACTTTTTAGACATTTGACTGCTATCTTCTGTATATCACTATACTGTATGGTAATATGTATATACATATATGAAATGATACTGTTCATGTTTCAGAATAATATTCTGAAAAAAATATGAATAAAATTGTTTTGTTGAATATTTCATATATATACATATATTAATGTTAAATGAGAGCTGCAGTTTTTTAGCATAAAATTACCAGGTAGCGCCACCTAAACCAAGTTGTGAACCATCACATAAGTCTATGTATTAAAGTCTTATTCTTTTGGTAGTTGTCTTTGCCGATCAGTTTTGACATTTAAAACTTCATTCAACCTCAGTAAATTAAAAATTTAAAATAACGCATAGTCATCATTCATAAAAGTAACTCATATCTGTTACCATTGTTTCAAGAATTTTTCGAAATACAAAATGCTTCACTTACTAATTAATTAAAAGCTTTTAAATGAATTTTGTTAGATAATTCAGATGTAAATTTTTTAACAGCAAAAACTTAATTTTGACGATAATTCAATATTGCGACCTGCTGCTGGATCCTACACATGCATTAATGATTTTTTTCATCAGATTATTTTTATGATGATCATGACCATGGATGTAAAACACAGCGATCCAAACTAAGTGAATTCTTTAAACATATACAACGATTGGATCCGTGCAACATACAACTTAATCTGAGCTAAATTGATTCGAGTAACAGATATACAAGTTGGATCCTCCCAAAACACAACTGGGTCCGTCAAATACATAGAGCGAGTGGATTCGAGTAACATATACAAGTTGATTCGAGAAAGGTGGATCCATTCATACGTACAATGACCTGATCCAAATGGATCAGTGGAAAATATGAAACTATGTTCGAGCTAGGTGAATCCGTGCAACATATACAATTGTGTCCGTGGATTATATAGAACGGGATCCGAGCTAGGTGGATCCCCTCAACGTATACAGCGACCGGATCCGAGCTAGGTGGATCCGTCCAACATATATAACTTAATAAAAGCTAGACGGGTGCGTGCAACATATACAACTAGATCCGAGATAGGTGGATCTTTCCAACACATAAAAAAACTGGACCCGAGCTAGTTGAATCCACCTGTTACAACGTATCTCACGTAAGCTAAATGATTATACAAATATGTAGTATTGTAGTTTTTGTTTTTTGTTTAATGTTTTGTTCCAATTAAACAATTCAAATTGAAAAATAAATTCACAAAAAAATTAAGAAATGTAGGACCAATTACAATACCAATTTCTTGTCTATCGGTATTTGTCTATCGGTTGGACTAAACCATCGTCGTAGATGTTTCCTTAGTTTTTCTTAAAATACTTGTATCTCGGAAATCATTAAAACGTAAACTTCGTTTTAATTAAGTGGTAAAACTTACTCACTTGATTTCCTAATCCGTATATATGGTATATTTTTTGGTACTCTTCTAAGTCGCCCTGTATATTATATGTGAGTCTTTGTAGATATGATATACGCTTACGTATAACATCAAAATATTTTTGTAAAGTACTTACATTTTACTTGACAGATTTATTAGATGTTATAAATCGCGAAAGTAAAAATCGTGTACAAATATTATAATGGTTACATGTACTTTGGTAACAGGATTATGTCACAGTTTTTTAAATAAGTTGTTAAATATTTCCTATTAGTAATTACATATTTAATATTTGATTTGAGAATTGTACAATATATGGACGCTTTCGTAATAGTAAAGAAAATTGATTAATGTACATATTATATTTGTATATAAGAATTTATTGAAAAGCGCGTACACAAACGAGGGCTATATTTTTTAAATTAGTTCATAATTAACTCCGTAGTAAGAATTTTAAGTTTTTACACAGTTCTCCTTTACTAATCTTTATACTACACACATTTTTATAATTTAAATTTAATAAAAGATAAGAAACTTTTATTTAAAAATTGAAAAAAGTAAGGAAAATATTTGAAAGTTATTTGTCAACACACTGTAAAATGCAATAATTTGAAAAGTGTGTAAAACATGAATTTTAAAATTTATTTTTTCTAATATTTGATTTTCGAATTGATATTATTTATTTAACCATTGTTAAAAAAAAACACATTTTATTTACATATGTATGTATATAAAATGTGTGATTTATATAGAATAAATTTTGTGATAAGATTTAAATGGAAAAAAACCAACACAAGAAAAACCAATCTATACTTTACCCTTAAAGAATCAAGAGTGGGAGTTTTAAAAAGCGGTAGATATAGTTAATACAAATTCAAGACGAATCAATAAAATATTGAGTAGATATAAGTGTAAATTAAAATACGAATATAAGAAGGAAAACATTATAAATATGTAAATACTAATAGATCAACATACGTACATTAACATTTATAAACACACTTTTTTTCTATTGTAAATATTTAAAGGATTTTGTCGCCTATTTGTAAATATTATAAGGATAACTTAATATGTTTTTTTTTCGATGCAAATATAAAGAATATTTTCTTTAATTATTTGAATAAATTTATCCAGAAGATAAATAAACGCCTTTAAATAAACTTTTTTTTGTTCTTTTACACTATATGAATAGCACCCCTCAAAATAAATTACATTATTTTGAATGCTAAATGTAGCAAAACGCATGTTATTAGAAAAATTCATAGACTTATGCAACAAAATTATAAATTTAATAAAATATTAAGGAGCTCTTTGATTTTGTGTTTTTTAAAATTAGAACTGCACAACTTTAAAAGTCTCACGTATATATTTATATGGTCGTATAGTATTTTCAAAATTTCACATTCTTTACTTTAGGAACTGAAATATTGAAAACTTTTTCTCTTTCAAGAATTATATAAATTGAATTAAATCAATATCATTTTCTGCAGCTTATATTAAAAAAGTTGAGAGAGTTTAAAAAACTATCAGGTTCCATCAGATTTTAAAAATAGATAGTAAACAAATCCTTTGAAAATAAAAGGAAGCTATTACAGAAAATGAAATTTTTACAATAAATTTTTCCCACTCGTTTTTACAAGTGGGAAAAATTGAAATAAATGCCTCATCGCGAAAGAAATAAACAATATATACCTTAACATATAAAATATCGCTTCATCGTATTCGAGAAGGACATTTCAAATTTACAAAAAGTATTATTTATCAATGGAAATTGTAAATTTTAAAATTTATCCTAATCTTCATTTATGGGTACGATATACATCTTTATAATATAATTATTACACGCTATATATTAAACATAATATATAGTGAATTGATCATATTTATTAAATTTATACTAAAGAATTTGGTATAGGTCCTTGTTATAATATATTCCTATTATAAAAATATCCACATATGCATAAAGAGAAAGTTCTTGAAAGTTTTAGAATGGTAATTTGAAAAAGACAAGAAAATTATTTTGTAAATTTTGAGTTTATCTTTATAAAATATTATAAACAATATATATATGTATATTGGCCTAAATCAATAATAAGAAAAATTTTACAAATAACATTATATTTTATTTTTCAATCATATAAATACTTAATAATATATGTATACTCGTATATTATAAAATTCATTTTTTGCATTATACATAAATGAGTATAGGTTATGTATTTTAAATATTAATATTTTCCTGCTTACATTTTTTTTTATAAGCGCTAGCGTATTTTGAACTACATATTATATTATGTGTAGGAAGCATGAAATAATATTGCTAATTGAGTACTCAATATTTATTATGAGCTCGGTTTCCTTTTTATTTATTAAATATATAATGTTATGGAATTACCAATGTAGCTGTTATAAGTATAAGTTTATAATTTATTTTTTAAGAAATAACATAGTTAAGAATAATTCCAAGTACAAATGTGTTAATTAACAATATTAGCGTAAGGTGCCAACTGCAACAATTATATTTAATTAATAATATTCTCTATAAAATAAAGCAGACTTCTCCCAATCGGCTATTTTTAAAATTAAATGAAAAATTTTCCACGTATTTTTCAATTTCTTTAATTAAATGGAAAATATTTATTTATACATATATGTAATTACAGAATATTGTAAACATGTTTTTGATTTAGTAAATTTCTTCTTCATTTCCATATAAATTTAATGTTTAACTTTAATCAGCTTTAAACAATATAAAAAAAATACAATTAAAATTAAACTGTAATTATTTTAATATCAAAGTAAATGCAATAAAACTATAAAGGAAAATGTATACCTTATTTTTATCTAAGATTTTCTTTTTAATGTATATACGCTTGAATTGTCAACATAGGTTTATCCTGAAAATGTATAATTGTTTTTGACGAGGACTAATTTTTTCTTTATTTTTCTTTTTTACTACTTGTAATATTTTTGCCTTGCTTTGTTTTTTTCTTTTTGCTATTTAATTTTCTATATTATTCTAACCAACTCTAATTACTCTAAACAACAAATGAAAAGCGAATTTAAACTGTTGGCACTGTTGTTAAAAAATGTGCGAGGTGATTAATAGGAAAAAGGATTTTTAAATTGCAATAAAAAATTCGACGAATAGAAGAAAAAAAAAATCAAACTTTTAATTTTTTTTTTATTTTTATCCTTCAATAGTCGTCTGGGCTTATTTCACTACATATTTCACGAAAAAATATTAAAAAAAATAAGATGTAAAAGAAAAAATACTCAACAATGGAGCAAATGACAAAAATTTTCTTTTGAAATTAGTTAAATTAACTGTTATTCATTAAATAATTTGCCGGCATATTGAATTTAATTTTAAAAATAAATTGTGGGTGAAGCATCCCCTGTCCTTAATTTTTCTGTTAAAATCGTAGCAAAGTGAAGACAGGGTAAATTGCATATTTTATTAAAAAATTCAAATAATTTTTTTGCTTACGTCTTTAAGGCATAAGTTGTAAGACAAGCTCAAAATTTGTTAACTATGTTTTAGGGATTTTTTATTTGTACTATATTATAAATATTTTAGTCAGTTATTTCTAATTCCTACATCCCTATTGATGCTGTAAGAATGACACAAAACTACTCAAAATTTTATTCTTTGTACTTGATCAAGTGTAAAGCTTATCATACATAACAGGCTAGAAATGGCAGTTTTAATAGTTTTTTTTTTTCAATCAGTCGCTATATCAGAATAGGTAAATGAAAAAAGATGATCTTTTGACCAATTTTCTTTTGTGTTTTTATCCCGCCCATGACTAAAATTTTTTTACCAAAATAAAATCTATCCATATTTATTAGAACACTTTAAATTCTTTTTCGTAAAAAATTGTTTTATAAATTAACTTTTGTTAATTATCAATTATTCAACCCAGGGTAAAAATTAAATATTAAAAATTTTGAGTTTTCTTATAAGTGCGCATCCTACATACTGGTTTAAAATTGTCTACCTACATAATTTAATTCCGAATCGACCTTTTATATTATTATTTAAATTTTCAAATTTGAAATTTAAATTTCATAGACATAATATTGTCACTAAAAGTTTTCGGGGATTAAAAAAATACTGAATTTTTTTAAAAAATTTTTTGCAATGATAATATAATGATAATGATGATCTTATTCACTATTTTTTTTTAAATAATTTTACATTTTTTTAACAAACACAAAAACAAAAAAACCACCACCCACAATCAAAATATAAGAAATAAAAATGTTCTGAACAATAAATAAATTTATAAATGAAATAGAAAAGCAACATAAATTTTCACCCATAAATTCGTTAATAATAAAATATATCAAAAAATAAAAATTTAACCATATACATCCATGCTATACTGTTAAACTGCTATACTGTATAACTCTAAACTCATACGTACATATATATGAAAAATAACGGTATAATAACGGTTTTATTATAGTTTTTATTTGTTTCTTGTTTTTATTATAATTTTTAATTTTTTTATATGTATTTCAAGAAAAAGTTCACACGTTGTCAGTTTTAATACACTTTACAAAAAAAAAAACAGCAAATTTTTTTCTTAACTAATTTAAAAAAAAAAAAACTAAAATAAAATTATATAAAATAGCTCGGATAAGAAAATTATAAGCGCAACTTTTAAGAGTTTGCGCTAATAAAACAAAAAGTAATACGAAAAGTTTACAATTTCATACAAAATAAATAGGTATACACGTTGAACACATCATATTACGTGTACAAACACACATATACTGAGAAATTAAATTATATATACATATTATATGTAGGTATCGAAACCAATACATTCAAATTGAAGAAAATAAATTAAAAATATAAAAAAAAAAATAAAAATTTAAAAAAAAATATTTTTTAAAAATTTTTTTTTTAAAATACCAAAACATCAAAATAACAGTAACAGAAATAAAACAAATGCCAAAAAAAACAAGAAAAAAAATGTAACAAACGCAAGAGACACAACAACACAACAATGAGAAAAAAAATTACCGTACATTTTCTTTTATATTACTGACGAAAGCATTATTGTTCGTTTTTACCGTTGATTATGCATACTATACATATACAAATACATTTACATACAAACAATTACAGAATATCCAACAAGTAAAAATTATATTCGAAACGTTATAACCAAATTTTTAAATATAATACCGAGTATATAACAAAATATAGTGTTGGAAAAATTATTGTATTATTATTCAGCAATATACATATACACACATATATATACTGAATTAAAAAAAAAGGATATATAAGGATCTGTAACTGAATCAAATGACGGCAGTTTATCAAAAAATTTCTACTTGAATTATTTTCAATATTATACAAAATAGGGAGAAAAAACGAAAAAAATATCAGAAATAAAAAAAGAAGAATAAGAAGTGTAAACAAGTGATAAAGTAAAAGTTTTAATATAATTAATAAAGTGTACACATACACGCACACGAATAAAACAAAAAAAATTTGAATTTAATTTCGGCTGCATGAATTTAATTTGAAAAAAAAAAAATCAAAAACAAAAAATAAATATTTTGTGCAACAGTTAGTTTTCGTTTTTATTTTGTTTATTATTAATTTTTGCTATTTTTTTTAAATCTGTTATAATTTTGAAACTGTTGTCATTTTAATCAATGTAGTTTTTATTATAGTTATTTTTGAATGGTAAGAGAAAATGATTTTTATAAAAAAATATTTTTTTCTCTCTCTGTTCAAAAATTTTTAATTTTGTTCAATTTCTTGTTTTATTTAAAATAATAGTTTCGTTTTGATTACCACTAAAATTTTACTTTTTTATTTATACATTCAAAATTCAATAAAACTTTAATTTAATTGTCAAACAAAATATTGAAAAAAATTTGAAATAATTTTGAAATATATGAACAAAATTGTGCTTCTTTAATGTAAAGTTTTTCTTTTCAATAAATTTTTAGTTTATTTTTGTTTTAATTATTTTTTATTCATTAAATATATTTTATTATAAAAATTCTATTCTTTTCTGTTTTAGTTTTAACAGGGTTTATTTGAATGTTAAATTTAACAGTATAGTTTTCAATTTAGAGGTAAATAACAGGATTATAAATCATAAATAAAAATAAAAATATCAAATAAGTAATCGAAATAAAATTCGATTTTAATTGCTTAAAAAGTACAGAAAATTTAAAAGTGAGAACAGACAAAAAAAAAATAAAAACACTTAATAAAAAAAATTATTTCTACAATATTACGTTTTCTTTAAAAATTCAAAAGAAGGTAAGAAGGCTTTTTATTTTTGATATATTAAAAAATATATTTATATAATTATTTTTTGAGTTTTATGAATAAAAACCAAAAAAAAATTTGTAATAAAAATTAATTTTTCCGACTAATTTTTGTCTTATGTAATTCTTGGCGGATTCATTTAATTCACTATTATTTTTGAAATTTTGACAAATAGCTTTCCATAAAATTATTTATTAATTTAATTTTTATTAAAAAAATAATCTCAATTTTAGTTGAAAATTAAATTTTGAATTTATAATTGTTATCTACGTACATATATTTAAATTTTAAGCAACATAACTAATTTTAACCATAAATAAGTTAGGAATTCTATACAACGAGTTAAGAATTCTATATAAGTTAGAAATTCTATAAAATATGTAAATAAGTAGTTTTAACTATTGAAATGTATATTGATTATTACACGTTTTGTATTAAAAATTTGAATTATAAATGAAAATTAATTAAAAAATGACACATAAAGAATGAGTAATTTGAATTTGCAATACTTAGTGCTTTAAATATTAATTTTTCAATGAAATTGTTGTCTGTTTTAAATGGTCGTTTTTGTATTTAGAAAAATTATTACCATTAAATACTATCTTTAGTCTCGGTGTAAACTGTACATCAGTTAAAATTTCTGTATACAAAATATACGACGGTAAAAATGGCAACAGGTTAAAAAATACGCATATACAAAAATATATAAATATACCTTTTGAGAGGAAGATCAGGTTATTCTTTATTCTATATTGATATATTACAATACTATAGTAATTCAAAACAATTAATGTAATAATATAGAAGTTCAAGTAAATCTATAGCGGGTACATTTTACCACTACTAGCATTAAGCTGAATACCGGCATTTAAGGTATATATATATTTCAATATTATTTGTATAATTTATAAAATTCTATAATACAAGTTAAATATGTAAAACTGTTATATTTAATGTTATGCAAATAATATTGAAAAATAAATATTATATTTTTCATTATCACATTCGCTTAAAACACTGAACCCTACGAAATGATAGAATTTTAAATTTCAGTAAGACTTGAGGGTGAGTGAGAACAAATTAATAAATATAATATTTAATTTGCTCTCACTTATTCGTGTAATTAAAATAAAATTGCACATTAATATATTCCACATTAATTTCAGCCCCGTTTCTAGCTTAAAATTCCATTAAATTCGTAAAAAACTTCTTAAATCTAAAAGCATAAACTTCTTAAATTCAATAAAATTCAATTTTAAGATTTTATTCTGTATTAAAATTACGATGTGTTAATTACAATTTCTTATTTTATGAATCTTTATTTTTTTTTTGACTTTTAATCTATTATCATGAAATTAATAGAAACCAAAAAAAAATACGGGTATATAACATTTTTTTAAACGGAAATACGGAATGCGCGTAGATACGAAATTGTGAGGAAAGCATTAAAAATAATGTTGAAAATCTCCAATTACAACATTAAAAGAAAATTTAATGGGCTATAATATAAAAATATATAATTATGTTTTTTTTTTAATTACCCCAAATAATGTACAAAACCATCTTATATGTCTATGCTTCCTCTTATTTCACTTTTACCAAAATATTGTATGAAATTTGTGCATTTATATGAAAAAGTTTAAAGGAAGTGATATTTTAGAGAAATATCCAAAAAATACCAGAATTAGATTTAAGGAGTTGAATTAAATCCAAATTTTTTATTGATTTTAATACAATTTTAAATATTAAATTACTGAAATATATGTGCAATTCTTAAATTAATTGCAAGTACTATGCTTTTAAACAGAGTTTACTGATGTTTTCTCTGTTATTACTGATAGCGCTTGCTTAAATTTATGAAATATGCACAAAAAATTTACAATTCTAGCACATAAGTTTCCCTCAAGAACAATTCTTATTAGGTAAATTATTAAATTTAGTTTTCCGGACTTTCTTTTTCTCTTTATTGTAACGATAAAGTTACCATAAACTGTAAATATAATTGATATCTCGAAGCATTCTCTATAAAATTTCAAATTAAAAATAAATTAATTATTTTAATTTACAGATAGTCTATAAACTTCATTAAAGTTGAGAAGAAAAGCATTTGATTTCTAATTTTAGGTGAAATTTATGCAGTGCGGGTCAAAATTCATGAAAATAATGGTATACTAACTAAATGATTCGAAAAATTTTTGATTATTTAATGAAATTTTGTGGAAAAATGAAAATTTTCTGCTAAACGGATCGGTGCATATAACTATGTACAACTAAAATATAAAAATCTCCCAGAATTGTATTAAATGCCTGATATGAAGCAAAATCTATACAACGGAAGATATTTACCCTAAAGAATTAATATATTAACTAAGAAAGCCTGTGAAGGAGAAAAATTAAAAAAATATATTAAATTTGTTAATTAATTTTTGCCCATTGTACTAAATTTTCATTTTTGTCATTAAAAATAAGTAAATTTTTTAATTTTTAATTTTTCGTAGGTGTGTTTAACTTGCAGATGTATATACATTACTATAGGATTTTCCAATAATTGTTTTCGAACCCGGCTTCTTTATTAAAACTGTTGAAATTATAACTCTATTATATGTTAATAACATAGAACATAATGTATTTCAATAATCCGTGTAATTAATTTTCAACGTCATATCCTTTAATGTTATTCACACATTATTTAGTTACTGATGATTTTATATAAATTTCAAATAAGATTAAAATTGTTTTACATGAATATGAATAATCCTTTTTAACAAAAAATAAAAAAGAAAATCAAAAAATTTTATTATTGGTTATTTGTGTACATATTTTCATTGAATTAAAAGTTTTCCTACTTTGAATATGCATAATACAAAAGAGAACCACTGCAAAAAGAGACAATTATTATTATTATAAAAAAGAATAAAAAGCCTTATAATATATAATAACAAAAAAATTATTTTTAAACATAAAAAATATTATCTTTGAGATTATCATTAATTTTTACTATGTACACATTATTTTATTAAATCTTTTTGTTTTTTTTTCTTTTTATCAAAGAAAGTAAAAAACTAACAGCAGATAATTATTACTGAAGATTCTTATTAAATGACAAAAAAAAAACAAAGAGTACTATATCAGCCAACATAAATTAAAAGATTATATATAGGAGTACTTTAGCAATTATGAAAATTTAATAATAGAATTTTATATATTATATGTAGGTGGTATACTTAGTGTATAAATGATTTAAATTGTTCGTAAATGTAATTGCATATATTATACATAAGGATACAAATATATAATAAGTGAATTAATAGAAATCTCTAACAAAAATATTAATTATTTTAGCTTCGGCAAAAAATAAGTTATAATTTTCATGTATTCATTAATATATAAAAATTAAGTAACACATAAGTTGAGCTGCTTATGAGTTGTTACTTAAGTTGTGGAATAAAATCTAGATTTTTAAATTTACTTTTTCTCAACATGTGTTTTTTTCGATTTGACACTCACTGTCATTTATTCACTGAAACCACCAAATTTTAACTTATTTCAAATTGTCTGATTTAAGTGCTTTCTCATAATTGTAAATGAATCTAAAAATAAAATTTAATAATTATTACCTATATATTATAAAATGTTAATGACATTTTATCTTATCTTATCTCTATAAAAACAATATATGATGAACTCTTAAAATACAATAATTTATTTTCGCCTCTTTAAATTAAGTATCAATTAACAATATAATAAATTATTGATTTTTATAATATTATAATTATAATGCAATAAATCAAATAATATAATATATACATATATATAATATTATAATTATATATGTGCCTATATATATTTCAGATTTCTGAGATAGGTCTAATTAATTTTATATTATATAATAAATATTAAGTTGTAATAAAAGTTGTTTTTTTATTCTATTTGAATTTAAATAATATACATTATGCATAATTTATTCATATATGGGGTAAAAATAGAAAATGAAGTAAATTATAAACTATTATTATATACAAATAATTGGAGGGTTAATATGGGGGTTTAATATAATGGTAGGGTTGCAATTGACGATGTTAAAAATGGGACGGGAATTGTTATTGCAATTAAATTGAATTTCTTTATTATTTATTTTCATATATTTTCAATATTATCTTTATATTATGACATATATTCATATATATCCTATGTTTATTTATTTAATTAATTGATATAAATAATATTATTATATAATTCTACCGAATTTACTTATTTATTGTTCACCTAATAATTGATATTACCATTCATATATTAATAAAAAATTTTGATGAATAGTTGATAGATATTGAAATTTGTCGTCAATTCTACAATTATTAATTTTATTCCTTTATTATTCCAATTATTTTTAACATAGTATGATTTCGTATATATAGGTATTTATAGATAGATGTTATATTCAACTATAATTTTTAATATTTTTAATTAGTTTTCTATAATTTATGACTTATTAATTATAAATTTATAAACGTTAAGTAAACTTAATTTTTTAATGAGATATTAATGGTAATCTTTTTTTAAGTATTTTAGATTTGTGGTCATTTTATGTATCTGAGATGCGAATACAACAAATTTTAAGGCAGAAAAATGTTAAAATATTTCTCTTTGGCTCAACTACTTTTGTAATATACAAATTATTTTAAATAACAATCATAATAACAAGGTTTAAATTGTCACTAAAACTTTATATTAACAAATTTAGAATTATCTGAGAGCAGCGTAGATTATAATTCTTATTATAGTCTACGTCGCTTTAATTCTATGCTACGTTGCTTTTATTCTATAAAATTAACTTCATTTCTCCGTTCTTTTCCTATGAATCTAATGACTGGCCGTGATTTACATAAATAAATTTGTTGCGCTTTAAAACAAAGCTCTTCCTTACAATTAAAAATAAATTATTTCACTTATCTTACAACTTATAAAATACTTTTAACACTGATATAAAAAAA